TAAATTATTTAATTTCATATAAAATAATATTATTGAATTATTGAATATTTAAAATATACTCTTGAAAATATAATATAATATTTTTATTTTAATATTATAATTTTAAATATTTTAATAATATTATCATTTTAATAAGTAATTAGTATAATTAAGAATATATTATTCTTATTTTAATAAATAATTAATATTATTTATAACAATTTTATTTTAATAAAATATAATAATCTTAATATTTTTATTTATAAAATTGTAGATACAATATTTTAATAATAATATTGAATAAATAATATTATTTATTTTGTTTGATGTTTATAATAAAGAATTTTTTAAAAAAATTATCAACTGGTGGAAAATGAATTATATAACATCATCTAAACACCGTAAAATGATTTTCAGAAAATGTTTTCAATAAATATAATTCATTTTACAAATTTAATTTTTCAAAATCTGTTTTCCATGAAATAAACGGACCGTTAGATGTAATATATATATATATATTGATAAAAATTTAAATACGAGTTTACATATCTCATGATAACCCAAAGAATTTAGATCTGAAGAATTAAAAGATAATGTCAAAAAAATTAGGAAAATAATTGTTAAACGTTTATGTCTAAATTTTTATTTAGTATAATATACATATGTTTCAACAATTAGACCTACATATTTAAATATGCCGCACTTACTATTTATATTAAATTTTTTAAAATTTAAGTTAATGATAAGACTTGAGGATGAACTTTAGTGATATTATCATTAATACTTTTGAAAATTAGAACAAAATAATTTAAAAATAGAGATAAATTTAAATCATAATTTTAGAGTGTATAGCGTAATTAACTTAAATTTTATAATACCATTTCTTTTATTGTACCATTATATTATAAAAAGTAGGGATGGCAAATGGGCTGAACAAGTGCGGTTCCCCTTCCCTCATCCCTATATCCATATAATATTTTCGTATTCACCACCTACCTACCATTCACGAAGAATAAAATTTTTAAATTCACACTCGTCGATGCAAGTACATTCTCAAATCTATCCTCACACCTACTATTCATCTAGATACTTATCACCCATCTCGTACTCGCTTGTACCCACCTATTCCTGCCTGTAAGCAACAAAATATAAAACAAACACGTTCATTAAAAGTATAATAAAATAAACTATGAATTAACTGATCTAAGGATTAACATAGATTTTAAAATAAACCAAGGTCTTAATACATAAAACATCATAATAAAATACAATTAAAATCTAGAAACATAAATGACAAACATCATCATAAGAATGTTTATACCCTAACATTTGGTTAAATTACAAGTCATGTCCTATAAAGTCTTGAAATTTACAGAATAGTCTCTAAAATTATACCTCAATAATTTATATGTTGGGTAGTTAGTGGACGGACGGATGTGAGACTGAAGGGTGTGAGACAGGCGGATGCGGGGTAGACGGATGTGGGGTGGGTATAGTCTCAAACCGATCACCTACCCACAGGCCCGTCTTGTAAATTTTGGTGGCCCTATGCATAACAGTAAAATAGGCATTTTAAAACTAAAATATTATTTAATGTGGGCCTTGGACTTAAAAATTCTTGGATCAAACATCCTAAATACACATATATACAAAAGTCTTAAAAAAATTTAGAGGCCCTTACAAAAATTGGGCCCTTTGCGGTTGGGCAGCCCGCACAGGCCCAAAACCGGCCCTGCCTACCCACTACCAACGTCGGGTATGCTTTTTTACAACAACACTCATCCCTATTCCAGTTGGAATACATGCGGTGCGAAATCCATAAAAGTGTACCCATCTACCATCCCTATATATGAGTGATCATTTTATTTTAGTTTTGTACACTTTTCCTTACTAAATTTAGAAAATGAAATATTTGGTCACTTTATTTTTATTTAATTAACACATAGTCATTTTTATTTAGTTTCCTCGCTAACTAAAATCAAGATTTCAGTGACTAAACATTTAAAAGTTGATAAGATAAGTGATCACATATTTATTAAATAAAAACGAACATGACCACATCGTAATGAAAAAGTAAAAGTGGTCGAATATTATTTTTTTAAATTTATTAAAAAAAATTCAAAATTAAACAAAAGTAATTAATCTTATAATTTACTCAATTATATATATATATATATATATATATATCTCACAAGCAGACGACTTTAACCACGTTTATGGGAGCGAATCACATAGCGGCATGGAAAGCACAGCATTTGTATTAGTAAATTATGAGGTGATTTGATGTGAACCGTTAAACCAACCAATTGTCGTATACAAACAATCATACACAAAGCTCCAGATATAAAACAGAAATCTCCCATGCCTATATTTATTTTAGGGTAAACTACTCCAAATACCACTGACCTTTAACCTTTGACTCATTTATACCACAAACGTTTTAATTTTGTCAATTTTAGAATTAACGTTTACTTTTAAGTGTAATTATACCACTCTGCCATTAATTATTTACGGCACGGTGACATGACAGCTCCACACCTTGTCGTTGTTAACGTGTATATCTCACCAAAACAATTTCGTTTTGGCAAGATTGTTTTGATGCCTAAAACAGTAAAAACGGCGTTGTTTTGCTTGATGAGATTTCGTTAAAATTTGATTTTAGTGGCATTCAAACTTTTGACCACTGGAAACAAAGGCTAAAGCTTAACCACTCAACAATCTTAAGATTTTGGTTATATTCTTACAAATATAACATATAAATATAATATACAAATATATTCTTAAAAATAATAAATTTTCAAAAAAACACGTAAAATTTTTGAAATTCCCGAATTCCCCCTAAACCCAAAACCCTACATGCTAAATCTCTAATTTCACCCATTGTCATCATCGAATCAACGACCACCGCCCACCACTTTCATCAACAAACTCTTACAACCAATTACCCTACTTTCTCGTTGTCAAAAATCAAAGAACATTGTCTTCATTGATCGACAAAACACGAATATAAAATGTTCTAATCGAACCATGAATAATGATCAATTTGATGGATGCATGGCGAGAAGAGGAGGCTTTAGTGCGGTGGCAAAGGAGTGCTATCGACTGTGATGGTTGGTGAATTTAAGGATTATGATTTAAGGTTTCTTTTTGGGGATATTTAAGAATTTAGGGGTTGAGAATTATAGAAATTTTGCTTTTTTTAATAGAAAAATTTAGGATTTTTTAGAAAATTGATATCATTTATATCAACAAAACGACATCGTTTTAGGCTTTTTCAGGAATCTATGTCAGGAACGTCATGGCGTGAAGCTGTCGTGTCATTGTGCCTTAAATCATTAACATCAGAATGATATAATTGCACTTAAAAGTAAACATTAATGCTAAAATTGACAAAAATTAAAACGTTGGTCGAATAAACAGTAAGAGCTTAAAGGTTAAAAGTATTTGAAGTATTTTACCTTTTATTTTAATATACAAATGTACACGTCAGTTATCCAGATTGACAAAGATTATGCAATATGTTTAGTATTTGTTTTCGGGTGGGTTTCTACAATTTCCCATATTATTGGGGAAAACATATGCATATCTAATTAGAGATGATAATTTAATTCGAAATCGATAGAATTTAATCCGAATTAATTTGATACGATCAATCTTTTTAAAAAAACATTTGGATTTGGATTGAGTCATATATAGAGTGAGATCAAGTTGGGTTAGATTGGATGAATGGTGAAAACATCCAACCAGACTTGAATTATCATTAAAAGATTTCATATAATTTATGGATGATTCTTATGATTGTACCTCTTTATATTTTTTTAGTTAGGTCAATAGTTTTTTTAGTTAGGTCAATATTTTGTCGGGTTAAGTTTATACTCCAAAAATTCGAATTAGATCGAGTTCAGATATAAGAGATATGCTCTTTGGGTCGAGTCAGGTGTAGAGTATATATTTTTTAAGTCGAATCAAATTCAAGTGATGATATACTATTTTCGGATCAAATTGTCTAAAAACATGATCTAACCCGACTTGTTGCTATCTCTATTATATATAATATGCTGAATCAAAGGGAGAATAGGCCTTGCTGGAGGCCTTTATATGCCTTTATACTCCTAAAATTCCGTTCACACTTTGAAATGGAAAAGCTTGATTAATTAACTGAAATAGAGTGGCATGGATCTGCTCTACTTTCTATACAAAAAAATGGCATGGTTCATGTGTAATCATATCAATGGTAATATTCGATGTGCTCGGTTGTTCTTCTTTGGTGACGTACAGAAAAATATTTAGCCATTATTTTTTTTTCAAATAATTAAGGTTTAAATCCATCCTCAACCCAATTAATGGGTACTATTTTAAATTAAATTTTGGTTTTGCTGCTATATAATAATAACCTTCCCAACAAATGCCTCCGGCCTGATCAAAGATTTTGCTTTCCAGAGGTCTATTATAATGGGTAAACCACATGTTTAGTACCTTAATCACCTTTATTTCGTTTTGGTCACTCGACTATTATGTTTTTCAAAGTCATGCCTAACGTTATATTTTGGTTTCATTTTAGTCATCTATAGTTAAAAAAGAAACAGAGTTGCTAATGTGATTTCTTTTTAATTTTTTCAATAACGACTTGACATTACCTTATGGTGATATGTCAATGTCACTATTAAAAGGAGGATGGCCAAAATGAAATCACAACATAACGTTAGATATGATTTTGAAACAAAAAAATAGTTGGATTACAAAAACAGAACAAAAATAATAGTTAGGTATTAACCCATAGTTTGCCCTAGATTAAATAATCATCTTATTAAAAAAAATAATAATCTTCTTTGTTTTTTGAAACCAACGACATATTGAGTCGTCACATTAATTAAATATTGCAAATACACTTAATAATAATTTTTAATACAATTCTTTAAAATTCCATTCTACTTTTGTAAACCAGATTGTTGGATAAGTTATTGCTTATTTCACTATAAATACAGTGTTTTTCAGTTTGTTCAGTACGTATCACTGAAAATTGAGTAAACTTAAGGAGAAGTGAGAGATGGAAAGTTTGCAGCAACAAGAACAAGGAGACAACGTTGCAGTCATCCATCAATCATGGGGTGGAGGAAGCAACCGCATAGCTGCTTTAAACGTGGAGCCTGTGACCACCCCACAATCCTCCCCAGCTAATAACAGCAAAAGCTTCCATGATAATCATGTTGACCCCAATGATGAGGTTTCATTTCTTTTCAGGATTTTACATATAAGATGCTCTTATATTTGGTTTTAACTGATGACATGTTTTTCGGGGAACTTTTTGCAGAAGCCTGGATGGAGAAAGTTCTTGTCATTTGTAGGCCCTGGTTTCCTTGTTTCATTAGCTTATCTTGATCCTGGCAACTGTAAGCCATTAGCCATTGCCACTCTTTTCTCTTACATCTGAATCGTTTTGGAAACTTATCTGATTGATTTCATGTCACAGTGGAAACTGATTTACAAGCAGGTGCCAGCCATGGATTTGAGGTAATATGTTGAAGAGTAGGCCTTTATAATATTCTTAAATGCAACAATATTAGCTAACTTTGGTGTCATAAATCTTTGCAATCTCCAGCTACTTTGGGTGGTTTTGATTGGATTAGTATTTGCTCTAATAATCCAGTCTCTTGCTGCAAATCTTGGAGTCAGTACTGGTAATTATGTATCTTTCATGCTAACAATCAATCAAATTTCCATTTTTAGTATTATGTATTAACTTGTTTAACTTTCTTTCAGGAAAACACTTATCGGAATTGTGCAAGGCTGAGTACCCACCACTGGTGAAATATTGCTTATGGTTACTTGCAGAGCTTGCTGTCATAGCTGCTGATATACCTGAAGGTTTCTTGTCATTCATGTCACCATTTGCAGCATACAAAAAAATCAACCAGAACTGATTTATCTATTGGTTTTGAGCTCTATGTTTTGGTGCAGTGATTGGGACAGCCTTTGGGCTGAATATACTGTTTAACATCCCAGTATGGGTTGGAGTTTTATGTACGGGTTTAAGCACTCTCCTCCTCCTTGGCCTGCAAAGATATGGGGTAATTAATTTGCTTATCTTTATCAGTTTTGTTTTATATTGTGGAATTACAATTCGCTATGTATTGAATAATAAAGATATGTATATAAAGGTAAGGAAGCTGGAAATGCTGATAGCAGTGCTGGTATTTGTAATGGCGGGATGTTTCTTTGGGGAAATGAGTTACGTAAAGCCACCGGCGTCCGGTGTTGTTAAGGGCATGTTTGTTCCGAAGCTTGCCGGCCAAGGAGCCACAGCTGACGCCATTGCTCTCTTGGGTGCTCTTGTTATGCCGTATGAATAACATCAATCTCTTTCAATCTCACAATAAAAGCTTAAATGAATTTGTTCTAACTCTACCAAATGGTGTGATCATACAGGCACAATCTCTTCCTTCACTCAGCACTGGTGCTCTCCAGAAAAGTACCCAACTCGGTCCAAGGTGTTAATGTGAGCCAACATAACAACTTTCTTTATTATATCTCATACTTACATTCCTATTTATTTACTTATACATATATTAAAATTTAGGGTAAATTACAAAATTAGTCACTTTTGTTTCATTTTTCTAAATGTATGATCATTCGATCCAGAAAAATTAATACGTGATCACTTTTATTTCATCTTAATTAAGTTGTAGTCACTTAACGTATCGACCTTTAAATATTTAGTCACCAAGACTTTAACAGGTTGATGATTTGGCACATTAATAAAATGGTTAAAATTTTAACCCTTGATCTTTAAGTAAAATATTATTTATTGGTCTTTATGTAAATCAAAAGCATTTTAGGGATTATTTTTTAATTACTACTTTTTTTTTCTTTTCTTCAACCTCCCATAAAACTATAACCAACCCAGTTCTTTCTCTGAGAAAACACAAGTTTAATTATTTTCATGGGTCTCAGTAGGAAACAAAAATGGATTGCTATAAAATAAAATAAAATAAAAAACACGAGAAAACGTAATGTAAGAATGATAGCTACTCTCGGATCCTGGGGCTGGCGAACGCTTTCTCTCCTTTCTCCCTACCCTTGCGTTTGAACTTTGAAAAACCAGAAACCAACGACGAACTTGAGTGATTCACTTTCCACAAAGCATGGAAAGAACTTGCCTTTTTATCACCAGCTTGAAGCCACTGAACCCGAGATTGACATATCCAGAATTTCTCTTCCCTCTTAAGATCCTGCTTCAATGATTTCGCCTTTACATGGTCACGGGTTGTTTAGCTAACTTCTCCATTTTTTTTTTCTAGTTAACTTGTCTTTTATCTGCAGCCGTTCAATTTCCTCTCCAATCAAAAACCCATTCCTCAATTCTCCTCTATCGTACGTTCCTTCACCCAAATTTACCATAGCATCCCAGTTCTCCTCATCTCCTTCACCTTCTGCCGCAACGAATACCCAAGTGTTTTGCACCAGTACTCATTAGAGGCCCTTGTGTTTGTACTACACTCAAGGCAAGTGTACCCAGGTTTGCCTGCTAGCTTTTGCTACATCCACCTCTTATTACAATTACTAAGAAAAAGCTAGTCTTTATTGATTTCCATGCCTCTGTTTTCACAGTTTATCCGTTGTTCACCACCTGTTTGAGTTAAGTTCAAGTGCTTGATGCTATTTTTACGTGGGTGTATTTTTTTAACCATGTCTTTATCCGTTGTCCCTAATTAGAATTTTATTTAAACTTTAGGTATTAAAATAAAAATTAAACCCTTTTATTAATGTGTCATGTCAGAAAATCATTAAACCTTAATGACCGTTTATAACTTAATTAAAATAAAACAAAAATAACCACGTTTTAACTTTTATAGATAGAAGATCATACATTTAAAAAAAATAAAACAAAAGAAACCATCTCTGTTATTTACCCTAAAATTTAGTATAACTTCATATATGCTAAACCAATTTGTGGTTGTCATTCTTTGGATCAGGCTGCCTGCAGATTTTTTTTAATAGAGAGTGGTTTTGCCTTGTTGGTGGCATTTCTGATAAATGTTGCGGTAGTTTCAGTGTCAGGGACCGTGTGTGCAGAAGATAACATTTCTGGAGATAATCGAAATCGTTGCAATGATCTTAATCTCAACTCTGCTTCTTTTCTTCTCCAGGTTTTAATATAATAATTAATACATTATATCGGTCAAAATCGATCAAATGGGTGTTGAAAGAAAAAAGTTTGGCTCGTATAGAGTGAGGGAATTACTTTCTGAGATAAGGTGATTGTTACAATGCTCAAGAGAATACGCATAAACCACCTGGTGTCTTTGGGAAGACACCTAAAAGATACGCGTCTTCTACTTTATTATTCTACTAGACTTGGTGTTCAAATTGCACGTAGTCTAAAAAAACGCATTGTGACCGTTGCGTCTTTTTAAAAATGCATTATACTCTTGGCATTTTTCAGGTGATGCAGTAGCAATCGACTTACTTCAGCAAATAAATTTGTGGGCATTATCTCAACTGTTTTGCCCACTACATCCTTTTCTTAGAAAAAAAAGTAAAATTAAAATCTTCATTTTAGTTTTTTTTTCATTGTAGAACGTGTTAGGAAAATCTAGCAAAGCTCTTTATGGCGTTGCACTTTTAGCTTCAGGGCAAAGCTCAACCATTACAGGCACTTATGCAGGGCAATTTATTATGCAGGTCTGGGCACACTAAGTTCTTTAAAATGTGACATCCATTAGTTATTTATCTAAAATTGAATATGAAGTTTATTTTATGATATTTCTTTCAGGGTTTCTTGAATCTTAAAATGAAGAAATGGTTGAGGAATTTAATGACTAGGTGTATTGCCATTACACCTAGTCTTATCGTGTCCATCATTGGTGGATCTCAAGGGGCCGGTCGACTAATCATCATTGCATCGGTTAGTAAAACATATACATTTTTTTTACTTAGATAGTCATAACCAAGGGATGGTTCGAGGAAAGCGTGCGAGATAGTTGCCTCTTGAAAATTTTAAATTAATATATATTTTAGATATTTTTTATATTTTGTATTAATAATATGCTTTCATCCTCTAGTATTTAATAAGTTCGTCTCACCTTAAAATTTTATAAGTTCATCTCCTAACGTAAAACTATGTGTTCGTTCCTAATAATAACCTAAGACTAAAAAAAGATTCCATAACTTAATGTTTTAATTTCGAGTGATCTTATCAATGTATACTCTTGAAATAACCCGTGTGAAGCTAAAGCTAAAATTTTTGCAGATGATTCTTTCATTTGAGCTACCATTTGCTCTAATCCCACTCCTTAAATTCAGTAGCAATTCAACCAAAATGGGACCATACAAGAACTCCAAAATTGTGGGTGCTTCTCTCTTTATTTTCATTTTCTTTTAGGTTCTTTTTTCTATTTATGTTCTTAGCTGATTATCAAATCTCTGTTACACTGCAGATAATTGTGATTTCATGGATTTTAGGGCTTGGAATAATTGGCATCAACGTCTATTACTTATCTACTGCCTTTGTAGATTGGTTGATTCACAATGATTTACCAAAAGTAGGCAATATATTCATTGGAATCATTGTGTTTCCTCTAATGGCGGTCTACATCATTGCAATCCTCTATCTAACATTCAGAAAAGACGTTGTTGTTACATATATCGAACCTCAAAAAGATGAACCAACAGATACCCAAGTTCGGGTTGCTTTCGATCTCTCGTCTCAAGTTTAAATATCATAGAAGCTTAAAATAAAATTATGAATCTTGGCCTCTCTTTTTTTCTGAAACTATTATGAAGCAAGATTTTATAACTGTCTACAAAAGAAAGAGGAGAGGTAATGTTTAGTTGTTGTTTATAGTTTTTGGTTCAAGTTAACCAATAAAGAGGATATCTTTATCACTTGTCGACAGTTAAATATCATAGTTGTTGTTTAAAGTTAAAGAGGAGAGGCAACGTTTTGTTGTTGTTGTTTTTTTCTCCGCAAATATGAAATTTATTAGAATAATCATAAGAAAAAGTCAAATAGATTATCTCGACAAAAAATTCCCTGAACCTAAATAAAGAAAAAGAATACATCCTATCCGGCAATACAAGAACAATACGACACGAAAACACCACCAACCAAATCGAGCATTTCCCCGCAAACTACCCACCTAATAAACAAAAATCACCAGGAATGCAAAACAAATAAACTTCCTAAACACTCTCCTATCTACTAATTAGAGAATCAAACACTATTATCAACAAGGAGATATAACACCAAATAAGATGGACCGCTTTCCTGCAAACTTTTTCAACTCAATTTAGAGAGATAACCACCCAACTTTGAAGAAGAAAGATCTACTCATTCACCTAATAAGATAAAGTCCTTCCCTAAACCAGAAAATAAAGACCCTCACTCCCCATTCAAACGATCTCAACAACAATGAACACCACCTCCAAGACCTCATTTACGCAAGGCACGAAGCACCCCAGTCCAAAACATCTTAACTCCCTAAGAAATAAACACCCTAAGACAAATGCGCAAACATGGATAAACCTTGCATTACAACTGCCCAGAGCATCCTATGAAAATCACTCCTCCAAAATCAGCAACACATTCAACTACTCCTTCAGTTGAATTTAAAAAATTCAACAGCTCAAATACTCGACCACTTTAATGTCAACCACCACGATTTGATGAGAAGTGCTGTAGCATAAAACCTGTCCACAAACTCTACCATAACATCTGCTACTTTAATGTTTTGTTGTTGTTTACAGTTTTAGGATAAGAGAGCATTGAAGTAGAGATTTTCTAAGGGATATCGGTTAGTGCATTACGGATCTTTGTGTGGATGTTATTCAGTTGATTACAAAGCATTATCTTGATTGTTTCTTGTTCTTGTTGAGTTGATATTTCGTACGAGAGCTTCTAGCTTTATGGTTATTGGTAATGCATGACTACGTTAGACTTCGATATATATGTGTTTGATATTACATGATTAAAAGGTCAGTGAGGCTCTAAAAAGCTGAAAAGAATGGTTGGCCTACTGTCCTTTAAAGTCTTTGGACATAGTTAATGTAACACCCTTCCTGGATCCGTCCAACGAACTCGAGTGAGAGACGTCACAAAACTCTCAAAATATTTTCTATTAAAATCCCATAAAGAAATTGATGGTTAAGAAAATGTGCTGTCTAAAATATTATAATCGACATAATATTTTAAGTTACACATAATCTAAAATATTATATATTTAATATTTTTAATTTAACCGAAAATATTATAAAAATATTATTTTTGATTGCAAATTAAATTATTACGAAGAAAGTTTACACTAAAAAAATAAAAAATATAACATTTTAAGTTGTATATAATTTAAAATATTATATTATTTATAATATTTTAATTCATGTCTTTTCTCAACATTGTATTAGTCTGCCTCACCCTATAACTCCGGAAAGAATTTGTCTTTTTATTCAATTTAATATCTCAGAATATTCTTTGTATACTGATAAGTCACTTGAAAAGCACACTGAAGTTTGTCACTCGTAGAAGACGAAGCTATTAATGGCATATACATTGGACAGGTCAACGATGAGATTGGTAGCCAGGTTGTAAGGATCTTCAACTACTAAATTGGAGAAGAAGAATTACTTGGGTGTGGGCCCCAAAATAATCCGGTAGTTAACATGTTGACTTTAAGCTTTTCTTCACTTAAGGAAATGATCACGAACGATAATCTTAATATATGATTAAAAAAGACGTTATCGATTTTATTATTATTTAAAAAATAATATCGGTAAATAGTTATCAGAAATATTATTATTTTTATTGGTTTTGTTATTATTAGGCATTTTACTGATTTTGTTAATAAAACCAATAAAACGCTACTGGTTTTGTTATTGTTGGATACTTTACCAGAAATATTGAAAAACATTGATATTATAGGTAGAAATAATAATGTTTTAGGTACTTTTTTTACCGGTTTTGTTATTTAAATAATAACAAAAACGGTAACATTTTTTTTGTTGTATATTAAGGGTGTCGTACTGTAGAACTTCTCCACATTTGGCGTGGAGTAGGTTTCAAATAGGAGAAATTATTTCATAGATGGCGTACGTAAATTGCGTTTATATTGAAATATCACCCCTACATCTAATAATTATATGTCAGACACCCTTTATCCTAATATTATTGATCTAACATATTTTCTGACAAAGCACGGATCTCTATCCACGCTTTTACAGGGTTCTGTCGAGCTGACGTCATGTCAAGAAAGACGCGGATCCTTTAATACCCCAACCATCCACCTCCCACATTTATGGGAACCCATCTACCCCCTCCTCTCTTCCTATAAATATCACCCTCCCCTCTTCCCCTAAACACAACCTCCAAACCACACTAAAATATCAAATTCTCTCAATTTTACGAGTATCAATCTTTCTATTAAGAATGTAAAAATATTTTTATTGTATTATAATAAATTAATAATTTATTATTTTATTAAATTTTGTTATACTAACTTTTTATTAATTTGTGCAGTTATAAAATGAAAGTCGGTTTGCTATGTTTAGATGAGAATCATATCTCAAGGCATTTTGCCGATATGGTAACAATTTTAAATTATGTTGTAATTTTAATTATTGTTAATGTTTTATTTATTTAATTTGTTTAGTATTAGTTTATATTTTAATTTCTATAATATTTATTAAATTAGGAGAGAGATCATATATTAGAGCCATTCATTCATAACCTTAAGTTTGAGATACCTACTCGTGTATGGTTGTATTTAGTCGAGGCTAGATTCAGTTACGTAGCAAAATATGAAGGACACTGTAACATTGAATCCAACCTTATTTCTGCATTGGTTGAGAGGTGGAAACCAGAGACACACTCATTCCATCTTCCATGTGGAAAGTGCACAATTATGTTGGAGGATTTTTCTATGTATTTGGGGATTCGGTAGATGGGGATGTGATTTCTGGGGTGGCGTATTGTGATTGGCATATCTTGTGCGATGAATATCTTGGAGGTATCCCGCCTAATTTCAACAGTGGTTGAATACCTTTAAATTGGTTGGATACAACTTTCCAACATTTGAGTCGCAACACCTCCGAGGAATAGGTTAAAATGTATGTACGGGTTGCATATTACAGCTCATAAGAGGGATCTGATGTCCGACAAATCGCGCAACCAAGTTCATTGTATGTGGTTGCGTCACCTCACAGATTTTCATTATGTTGGCACACTCAGTTGGGGCTCCGCATTTTTGGCATTTTTGTATAGGGAAATGTGTTGAGCTATTGACTATAAAAAAATGCTATCGGCGGATGTCTCCTTCTTCTCCACTCTTGGGCGTGGTATCGTATGCCCTTTTTATGTCCGATGGTGAAAAACTCGTTGGTCTTCCTGCTATTATTGAAGTAATTTCAATACTGATTTCGTATATAGATAATTTTGTTGAGTATATAATGAAAATTATTTCATTGAATAGGTGGTCAAGTGAAAGAAAATATCATCGGGATTCACATGATGAATTAGAAGAAATTAGATTACTCATTAATCAGAAGGCTGGTACAAAGGTATGTATTTAAATATTATTATCTACTTTTAATTATTGTTATATAATTAGAATATTATTTTGATAATAATTATATATATTTGTTTTAATTTCAATGGGCTCCTTATTCTACTGAAGAAATGAGAATTTGCGTCCCACATCATTTAAGAGACCCATTATATGCCTGGATAGCGGTGGTCCCTCTGATATGTTATGTTATTGTCGAGTGTCATCCTACTGATCGAGTGCTCCGCCAATTTGATTTTGTACAATCTATTCCGGAAGCGCCTAAGAATCTCGGTTGCGGATGATTATTATGAGTGGTTCAACACGAACGAGAAAACGTTCCTACTTTCCGAGAAAGCAAGAAGCGGGAGCATTCATTGACGTCGATAAAGACGTCCACCGTCATAGCATCATCGTCCCCCGACTTATGGACGGAGAACAGGCGCTTCCCGCTCGTCCTCAGCTGCAGCACCAAAACTATTACAGCAGCCACCGTCTACACACCTACACATTCTACAACCGTTTTATATGGCACCGCAACCATATTAGATGGCACCGCAACCATTTCATATGCCACTATAGCCGGGTCAGACGCCACCACTTCCATACTAAATGTCGCCACCGCCTCAGAGTTTTATGACCCCTCTTGGTCGATATTATACTTTTATGCTTGTAGATCTAATTTGGGGTTCATATACTAGTTATTTGGCGGATGAAGCTTCACCACATGCATAGACACCTCCGGTGTAGTTTTTGCACTCATTGATATCGATGCTTTCACAGTTTTCACAATTTTCTTTGAGCGGTGGGATAGTCAGTCATACACCTCCAGTGTTCTTATTTTATAGAGGTGCTACATCGCCATTCGTCCCTTATCAAGAAAATGTATCTGCTCCTGATGATGATGATGATGGAGAGAGTGAGGAGGCAGAACAAGTTATACAAAGAAATCCTCATCGACATAGACAGCCACCACCCTGCGGAACACATTCAAGACGCCGACATCAATAGAGTTGTTTACTTCGTTATGTTTTTATTTAATTTTGTTTTTTTACCAGCAATTGTAAAGTTTTTATTTAATTATGAACTTTTTATTTATTTTGTTTCTTAATTTTTTTATTATTTAATTGTTCGAATTGTTTTTATTATTTAGTTGTTTTTATTTTTTAGTTGTATCGTTTTCTTGTTTTTAGTTTGTTCGAATTGTTTTTATTATTTAATTTCTTGAGTTGCCAATTAATCGATGATGGTCAAATGACATT